ATTTCCTGGCCCCCGATTAACACTCCAAGCACCTTGAGAAGAGATGAAAGCCGAGGGGAACCGGCAGCCCCTCCTCCCGCCAGCTGTGATTATTATGGGCTGCCCGAAAGGAGGGCTCCCTTTCTGCGGCAGGACAAAGCTCCTGGCCACTTCAAACGCTTCTAATTGATGCTAATGACTATTAGATGGAGCGGGGCCTTCTTCCCCATTGCGGGGTGGGCACCTTTTACAGTCCCTGCTCCACAAAGGCCTCCTCCCGTGGTCCTTCTCCAGCCAGTGTTTCAGAAAAGGGGGCCCTCCTATGCTTCCCCCTCCCCCCTGCAGGTTCATTTGACTTCTGTAACCCTGAGAAATTTCACACCTCGAGTGCCCCCCTTTCTTTCCTTCCCTTGCAAGGGAAGGGGCTGGCAATACTTCCATCTCACTTCCAGGGGGAGAGAAGGCAAACACTCCCCCTCCAGTGTTTGTGAAAAGAGGAGCCTATGCCAAGACATTCCCACTGCCCTCCCCAGGGGGGCTGTGTCCTTGCATAAGCACAGGCCCATGGCCCCCCTGCAGCCTTACTTCCTTGGGTAGTCTGGGGGGGGATGACAGAGAACTAGCCCTAAATGGAACCCCTGCCTTGGTGGGACACAAGCCATGCTGGCTGCAGAACACGGATCTACTGCCTTCCAGGAGAGCCCCTCCAGTCAAGGAAGATGGGCCTGGGCTGTGGGCAATTCTGCCATGCTGGCATCCAACTATTGTATGGGGACTGTTTCCATGCTGCACAGACAGCAACTAGCAGGCCTTGGCTCATCTCAGAAAAGCTAACCACGGCTGGCTGAAACTGCACAGGAGGCCACTAGGAGATCCCAGGGCTGTAGGCTAGCCTGGGAAGCTGGAAAAACTAACCGCTTGTCATCCCATTACGTGGAAAGCAACAGGGATGGGTCACCAGGGGTGCAGCTTGACTCCAGGGAAACTCGACTGCAAGGAGCTCAATGATCTGGTGCCCCCTTCGTCTGGGGAACCCGCCCCCCCACCCCCACCAG